CTTATTGTCAATAATCCTTTTCTACTGTAGGATAATGTTAAGGTTGGTTGCCTCATTGTACAAGAAGTTCAAGTAACGGATGCATTTACAAAACATGTTTTAATCATGGAATGACAAATACATCTACAGCAAAATGTGGATAATGGTTAACAACTTATAAAGCACATGCAAATTTGACTGATTGTGAACTTAAAACATGTAGAAATTATGGTAGTGCAATTACTAATAGATTATATGATTATTGTCCTTATTGATTAGATTAATAATCTACATATACATTTTAATTATGATTATTTTAAGAAGACTTTACTAATCATGAATCTTATGTAAATATATTTGATCATATAATTTTTTATAATTTGTATGATATTTGAACTAATGATGGTACTACTGCATTCAAATATAAAACATGTTAAAATCATAGATCAAATGTAAGTAGTTAAACTCAAGCTAATTGTTAATCATAGTTGAAAGTATTTGCAATTATAAAACGTGTACGAAGTACCAAGTAATACTTGGAATGATCAGTATATTTTACATAACATATGATTGAGAATATAACTATTATTCTGGTTTTATCAATGCACCTAATTATAGAAGTTGGTTGCACTAGAATTCAATAAAAATATTTTTAATTTTTGTAATCAAATTAATTTATGTATTTATAATATCCAAACTCGTCATCCAATTCTACCCACTTTCCAATCTTTTTCTAATTTCCTTCTTAATCATATAATCCGCCTCCACTATATAAAGGATTATTAATTCCCCATTAATACTTATATTATATTTACATTTATTTAAATTCCTTTTCATCATTTTTACAAAACATAATATACCACCGACCTATCTTGATTCCGTTCATATTATATTCTCCATTATAAGTGACTTAAGCATGATAATAAAACTCTTCAAACAATTCTACCCACTCTCCAATCTTTTTCTAGTTTCCTTCTTAATCATAAAATCCGCCTCCACTATAAATAAAAATATATATCCCCTTTGAAAATTATACATTAT